GGGGCCGCGCAGGGTCCCCTTCATCAGGCTTAAAGTTCACTTTAAGCCGGATGAAGGGGACCCTGCGCGTCCCCGAAAGCGTTTGACTCCTCTTTGAGTGACCTCTTACAAAATAAAAATGGAGATTCACTAAAATTGACTTGTTTGTCATTCTGGAGTGCTGGTGACATATTCTTATAACGATGTGGACAAGAGAAGGCACATCTTTTTTACTCTTTCTTCAGCTCTGTGTATACAAATAAAAATGGTGGAACTCAAGTCCATAATGGGGATAATATTGCCACAGCCTCAAATGAATAACATTGGGTTAAAGAAGGATTCTGGGCATTTGAAATCTTAACCCTTGCAGTGCAGCTACTCCCCCCCGCACTGCAAAGGTTAAGGGCTCAGGCCCAACTGGCTGGTAGACTGAATGTCCCTCGGTATGCTCATGTGCAATACACTGTATGGTTTGGAAGCTTATGGTTCATTGGATGTTTTTCATGTGTGACAGGGTAGCGTTAAGACACTGACAAATGAATGCAATATTAACATTTGTGTGCACAGGCTTACTTTGTCTTTGCACTCATAAGAAAACCTATTTTCATGAGAACTTTGGTTGAACTTCCATTAAGAAGAATTTTGCAGGTCTTCCAATACAAGGTTATAAGTAAAAAAAAAATATGTGTTTGGAAGGAACAAAGAAGTATGATTTTGAAAAAAAAAGCTCAAGTCTGTATACCCTTTTACCCGATGTACAAAATGTCTGTTAGCAATAGTGATTCATTGTGATTCTGATAGACAGTCTTAATAGCAGTCTTCAAATGACAACTGTCTGGTCACTTACCTAATCAGATTTGCTTACGTTCCAGCTCCCAGCATACAGCCCTAATTCAGAAGAGGAACCTGTGGATTTCCCATCTGTCTTTCCACCAAAGCCAGGTAGTCATTTTGTTTTTACTATGACATGATATATAGGGATGCCCAGGTTGGTACAATGAAGGTTATGTCTAACAATCATGATCCATTATTACCATTGGGTAAGGTTAAATCAAATTCTATATCAGTAAAATAGATGTAGTAGTTGCACTTTTAGTAGTATTTAGCATGTATGATGTAGTGATGTTTTTTTAGGAATATTTAGTAATCTTCTGATAAGTTTTTTTGACTGTGGTTAGAATTAACTGAGAACCCGCATAAACCTATAAACACAGACTATTTGCATGCAATTCTCTGGATAGAATTAAAATCCTAGTAGTTACAGTCTCACTATGCAGTTTGACAGCAGAGCTGCTTTCTCCATTACTTGAGGTAGGCAACTACAAGTGGGAAATATTTGTACTGTACAAGTAGCGAGTATCCACTTTACAGTTTAGGATTCAAATTAGCTACAGCCAACATTGTTGGCTTTCCAGCTTTAGAAAAACAAAGCATTACATTTCTTAGTTTGTCAACAGCAATAAAACATGAAAATAATTCATAGGATAATTGTGATATTATTCCATGCTATGAAGTCCTGATAAAACCTAGAAAGCTGCTGTGCTAAAATAGTGTAGAAACTAATGCAAAATATGAAAAAGTGTACTGTGCTAAAAAATCTAGTGTGTGACTTCTATAAAAATAATAACATCCAAATCACAAAATTACCTAATGAATATACCGAAATGATTTCATATCAGTAAATGGTGTTGAATCTCAGTGATTAATTGATAAATCCTGATTTTCTAAACATATAAAGTGCAAATAGTGCCCAACAGTGATAATCAATGGCAATCAATTAATAAAAGTGTCCAAAACATGATTTACAATGATAAATACATTCATAAACGGTGTATCAAAATGATCTATTTATGGGTCTCCCAAGGTGATCTATAACAATAGTCCAAACAGATAATAGTGTACCAGCAAAACTCCAATCAATCCCTGTGTTGGAAATAGTGTCACTCTTCCGCTCCCAGTGAAAAACACAGCTGCACTGTTTTTTATAAAAAATATTTCATAGCCTGGTTAGCTCTAACTACACATCAAACTTATCTTTATTGCAAATAAATAGACCTTGTGTGCAGATCCCCAATAATACAGAAGTACTTGCTTGCATAGTTGCTTATAATCTCCTTACTGTTGTGGATGGACCCAGAAGTGCTCAGTCCTGAGCCCTTCAGGTTCATGGTTAGTGTACTGCTCAATGCTGGGTGGAAAATGTTTAGGGACTCTGTGTTCCCAGTCTCCAGAATGCGGTGATGATATTAGGGGTCTTTTTCAAGTTAAATAATGCATATAAACTTAAAGAAGTAAAAGTAAATAGAAAATGAAATAAATTGGAAAACAAAAAAAAAATCACATACACACCAAACACGACAGCACAGTTATAATTAGGGATGTGCTTGGCTTTTGTGCAAACTAAGTTTGTCTGAGTTTGCCTGAAGCCATGCAAAGCTGTCAGTATGTGTACCTGCAGGGCGGGAAATACCCCGGCCGCAGTTGATTAGTATACAAAATTTGTGTTGAACCACCAATGAAAATGAGACACCACACCCCCAAACAGAACATGTAGAAAAAAGAGAACAAAATGGGGCTTTAAAAGTGTCGTATCCGGATAACGCGGGACCAAATCAAATATATAGATATTCATTCATTAATAAATGATTTATTTTGACAACATATTAATTTGTAAAATACATCATTTTAAAATAAATATATAGTCAAGTTAAAAGAGTTGACCAGATAAAAATATATATATATTAATATATATATTTGACTATATCACATAGTAATTGGATGTTCACATTGTATTGTTTCTGGTCATATAATTTAGTCATATTATTTATTTGTTTGGTCACTAGATATATGCTATAGGCGTTCTCCCAAACTTTCTGAAGAAGCCAGTTGGCGAAACGCATCAAAGGCTAGACCCATTGCACAACATCAATATGAAATTAAAGAGGACAATTATGGATATTCCAATCAATCATGGACATTGTTAAAGATAAGCAATTATGTAATCGCATATATTTAATCAGATGTGCAGATGGGGTCTAGGGGGGCTTTAAGCCTTGGGATAGGATTTTTATCTGGTCAACTCTTTTAACTTGACTGTATATTTATTTAAAAATGATGTATTTTACAAATGAATATGTTGTCAAAATTAAATAATTTATTAATGAATGAATATCTATATATGTGATTTGGCCCCCGCGTTATCCGGATACGACACTTTTAAAGCCCCATTTTGTTCTCTTTTTTCTATACGCAGTTGATTAGTCCAGGAGGGGGATGTGTCATGTACAGTTTTGCACGGGCTCTGGTGAATTCGATGTACACCAAGCCCCTTCCCATTTCTAGTCTAGTCATCTCTAGAAAGAAGGTCCTTGCTGCACTCCTTTCCATCTGGATACACTGGCGGGTGCTCGAAATGACTGCGGATGGTCGCCGCATCATGTAGATAGTTGAAAAATGTCACCAGCACACCAAATCGATGATTACAACAAAGTGTTCATTTATTGACTTATGATATCTCATTGTGCAAGCGCTTTCGGGGCCACGCAGGGTCCCCCTCATCAGGCTCAGAGATGTCATCAGGCTCAGAGATTTGGTGTGCCGGTGACATTTTTCAACTATCTATAAGTTCTAAGACACATTTATACACAATGTTGCCAAACTAATGCACAAGACCCTTGCAACACTACACACAGCTATCCCCATACACATTTTATTTTTAGGAAAAATGTATGGTCATCATTTTACTTTAATGCGAAATATACAAAGTTGTACAGTATTTTAGTGTAAGTTGCCTATTTACCTGTGAATTTAAAAAAATGCACAATATTATTATATTTATACAAAATTATCCATTAGCTCGGTGAAGTTTTAAGTTTAATATTTATTAAAAATTCTAGAAATAATGTTGAATCGGTGTGCCCCAATAATTATACAAGTTCTGCCCTTTTTAGAAAATATATATTTTGGGGGGAAGGTGGAGAGTTGTTTCACATACTTTTAAGCCGTGAAATGAATGAATGTGAAAAATAACCACAATGGTCTAGCCTGAGGTGAAAATTTGGAGGCAGGACACAGCAAGGATATTATCGGGAGGCATTAAGAAAACAAGGCATAGAAAATCACAAGGTGAGCTTTTCAAATAGCAAAACTGGTTCATGTGTTAGATTAAATTTGGGATTCCTTTCCTGCCCTAGGCTGTGGTCTGGCAGGACCCCCACCCCCTTTTTTTCTTTCCTCTCCCTTCCTTCTCCTTTTTCTTTTCTAGCTCTCTTCCGCTCTAGTTCTTCTCCCTTTCCCTTTTTCTCTCAGTCTTCTCCATGGTCCCTTGTTGTGTGCGGAGTAGGGGTAATAGGTTCCTGCATGTGACACTGGTTGGTACCTTCATTGAACCCTTCTTCATTACTCGTGACATTTGATATCACATGTTTATTTTGTACTTATCAGATCTGAATTTAACTGGTGATGAGCACCCCTACTATCTGTGCATCTCTTGTAGTTTTTGTGTTTGGCTCTGCTTTTCTTTGTCTGCATGTAGTTTTATGTAAAACTGAATAAATCTTATTCTTTAAACAAAAAAAAGAAGGTCCGTGTATAGCTAGATACAGTCATGGCCAAAAATATTGGCACCCCTGCATTCTGTCAGATAATGCAGCACTTTGCGCAGAAAATTCTTGCAACTAAAAATGTTTAGGTATTCTCATGTTTATTTCTTTTTTTTTATTTGTATGACTCAAAAACAGTGTCGAAAAAAAATCTAAATCTAACACATTCCATGCAAAACACAAAAATTGGACTGGACAAATTTATTGGCACCTCCTCCAAATTGCAAGAAATAATTACATTCCTCATTTTTGTGGAAAAGCATGGACAATCTCAAGGTTAGAAGTCCATCTCCAGAGATCGTAATGTTCCTGTGTCCACTGTGCGCAACATTGTCAAGAAGTTTACAGCCCATGGCACTGTAGCTAATCTCCCTGGACGTGGACGACAGGGAACAATTGATGAAAGATTGCAACAAAGGATTGTTTGGTGGATGAAGACCCTCGATCAACTTCCAGACAAATTCAAGCTGACCTTCAGGCACAGGGTACAACTGTGTCAGCTCACACTATACGCCACCATCTGAATGAAAAAGGACGCTATGGTAGGAGACTCAAGAGGACCCCACTGCTGACACAGAAACGTAAAATAGCCAGATTGGAGTTTTCCAAAATCCTTCTGGGAGAATGTGCTGGAGACAGACAAGACAAAATTACAGCTTTTTGATAAAGTCCATAATTCTACTGTTTTCAGAAAAAGAAATGAGGCCTTTAAATAAAACATACAGTCCCTACAGTCCTACATGGTGGAGGTTCACTGATGTTTTGGGGTTGCTTCAGGCACTGGATGTCCTGACTGTGTGCATGGCATTATGAAATCTGACGACTACCAAAGAATTCTGGGGTACAATGTAGGGCCCAGTGTCAGAAAGTTGAGTCCATCAGAGGTCATGGGTCTTACAGCAGGACAATGACCCAAAGCACACGTCAAAAAGGAATGGTTTCAGACAAAGCGCTGGAGTGTATTGGACTGGCTAGCAATGAGTCCACATCTGAATCCCATAGAGCACCTGTGAGAGAGATCTCAAAACAGCAGTTGGGAAAAGGAACCATTCCAATCTGAGAGACCTGGAGCAGTTGGCGAAAGAAGAGTGGTCCAAAATTCCTGTGGAGGGGTGTAAAAACTCATTGATGGTTAAAGGAAGCCATTGATTTCAATTATTTTTTCCAAAGGCTGTGCTACCAAATATTAATTGAGGGTGCCAATAATTTTGTCCAGTCCATTTCTGGAGCTTGGTCATACCAATACAAACCAAAAAAATAAACATGAGAATGCCTAAACATTTGTAATTGCAACGATTTTCTGTGCAAAGTCGTGAATTATCTGACAGAAATGCAGGGGTGCCAATATTTTTGGCCATGACTGTATATAAATGATATATACTTACCGTAATTTTCTTTTCCTGGTTATATTCCATGGCAGCGCTGACAAATGGGTTAGCTCCCATTTCCCCTAGGTAACAGGAACAAAGAGGTTTATAACACCCTTTAGCCCATATAAACCCCTCCTTCACCTAAGCTCCCCTGTCTAGTAACAAGCTAAAAATGTCCCAACGGGTGGGAGACCAGCGCTGCCATGGAATAGAACCAGGAAAAGAAAATTACGGTAAGTATGAATCAATTTTACGTTTTCCTGGCCATATCCATGGCAGCGCTGACAAATGGGGAATACCCAAGCAAGAGAAAGGGTGGGAACATAAAAACCATACAACCAATTGCATGCCTGAAAAATAGTTTTAGTTGACCTAGTGGCGAGAAAGTAACACACTTCTGCTGAATTGGTCGTTAACTGCCGCTCTCACATCCAATCTGTAATGTTTTACAAACGTAGATATGGAAGCCCATGTTGCTGCCATGCATATCTGGTCCGCTGACACCCCTTCAGCTGCTGCCCATGAAGAAGCCAAAGCCCTAGTGGAGTGAGCCCTGATGCCTTCTGGTGGAGACATTCCTGCCACCTGGTAGGCGTTAATGATGGTAGACACAATCCATCTGCTCAAAGTCGGTTTAGTTGCAGCAAGCCCCTTCTTTGCTCCTGCTGGGATGACAAATAATCTCTCTGACTTTCTCCATGCTCTGCATTGTTCTACATAGACCTGACCAAATCCAGACATCTGTCTGGACCGTGTGAATTGAGAGCGGGTAACACAATATCCTGGTTCAGATGAAAACTGGAATGCACCTTAGGTAAGAAATCAGGTACCTTTCTCAAAATTACTCTATCTTCATGAAAGGTAAGAAAAGGTTGTTCGCTACTGCAGGCCTGGAGTTCAGACACTCTTCGACCCGAAGCCAATGCCACTAGGGTGACTGTTTTGTAAGACAGTAATTGCAGGGAAACTCCCTCCATAGGTTCAAACTGAGCTTCTTAAAGTTTTGCTAAAACAAGAGGAAGATCCCAAGATGGGTAGAGAGGTCGCCTTGGAGGATTGACTTTTCCTTGCGCCTTCAGGAATCTAGCGATATTGGGGTCCTGAGACCATCTGATACCAGTGATTACTGAAATAGCCGATTCCTGCACCACAAGAGAACTTAGGCTCCATTCGTTGTCCAAACCTGATTGCAGAAACTCCAATATAGATTTTGAAGACGGCTGAGCTGGATTAATGTTATTAACCTTGGACCATGAGGAAAAAACAGACCACATTCGACAATAGGAAGCAGAAGTGGACATCTTCCTGGATCGCAGGAGTGTATTGATGACAGCTTGGGAAAACCCTGACTTCTTCAATCCCTCCCTCTTAACAACCATGTCATCAGCTGAAGGCTCTGAGGGCTCGGGTGGAGCACCGGTCCCTGAGACAGAAGGTCTGCAAACCCCCGGAAGAGTCCATGGGGACCGAATGCTCAGACAGCAGGAGAGGGAACCATGGTCGTCTGGGCCAATATGGTATGATGGCAATGACTGTCACCCTCTCTCTTCGCACCCTCTGAAGAACTGGCATGATCAACGGAGAGGGGGGAAAAACATATGCCAGTGTGGAATTCCATGGATGGAACAGAATGTCCTGGCCTTCCGCATTCCATTCGAACCTCCTTGACAGGAATCTGTTGACTTGGCAATTGACGGGAGAAGCCATTAGATCCACCTCTGGCCTGCCCCATCTCTTAACCAGCTCGTTGAAAACTGTCTTCGACAGAGCCCATTCCGTCGGGTCCACCTGAGTTCTGCTCAAATTGTCCGCTATTTGGTTCTCGGGACCTGGCAAGTACACCGCCTTTATTCCTTTCACCGTCCAAACCATCCATTCCATCAATGGAGATAGGATTTGTATCATGTTGGGGGCTCCTTGTACCCCCTTGATTCAGATACGCTACCACGGTGGCATTGTCCACCATGACCTTGACCCATCTGCCTTGGATCTGGTTCTGAAAGAAAAGAAGCACATGGAATACCGCCTTCAGCTCCAGAAGATTCAAAGATCTGTTCCTCCACCTCTGTGACCACACCCCCTGTGCATACTGGCCGTCCAGGTGGGCTCCCCAACCCGAGCCGCTGGCGTCCGTGGTAATGGTTACCCATGGAACATCTCCCAATGGGAACCCCCTGCGCAAGTTAACTTCCTGGGACCACCACTTCAGTGAGCTGCGTACCTCTTGAGTCACCTTGATCCATTGCTTCTTGCTCCGATAGCTGTATTGCTTGAGAAAGGAACCCTGCGCCATCCATATATTCCACTGGGCTCAACGAGTAAGGCCTATGGTTGAGGACATTGAGCCCAACAGACTCATGAAAGAATCGGCTGTGACTTGCGCACGGGACCAGATAGAGCTCACTTTCAGCTTCATCCTGTGGACTCGTTCTTCGGATAATTGAACGGTTCATAGGATTGTGTTGAATTCTGCTCCCAGGTACAGCATAGTTTGAGTTGGAGACAGTTTGCTTTTCTCCACATTTATCAACCATCCGTACTTTCCGAGGGTGCTCATGGTGACTTCCCTGCTGAATATGGCCTCCGTCTCTAAGCCTGCCAGAATCAAGACATCGTTCAAGTAATGGAATACGTTCACCCCTTGTCTCTGGATTTCCGCAATGATGGTCACGAGAACCTTTGAGAAAGTCCCGGGGGCAGTGCTCAGACCAAACGGCATTGCTCGGAAATTGAAAATGTCTGCGGCCGACACAAAACCGCTGGAACTTCTGATGCAGAGGAGCGATGGGAACATGGAAGTAAGCATCTTTGAGATGGATGGACACCATCCACATCCGTGGAAGAACCACCTTCACTATAGTCTGAAGGGATTCCATTTTGAACTTCCTGACTTTTATGAAATGGTTGAGCTGGTGCAAGTCCAGGACCGGCCTCCAACCGCCTCTTGATTTGGGAGTCAAGAACAAGCTGGAATAGAAGCCCTGAAACTGCTGCTCCCTGGGGACCACCACAATGGCAGCTTGGGACAGGAGAGAATCTATAAAATCCCAAAGAACTTGTCTTTTCACTAGGCTCATCGGGAGTATGGTTGCAATGAATACGCCTCTTGGGGGACTGGATTGAAACTCCAAGCTGTAACCCTCCTGGGTCCTTCAGGACCCAGAAGTCTGCTATAGATTGTACCTGAGAATAGTTGCAGCCTTGCACCCACTCTCATGTCTCCGGGATCGACACATTCATAAGGCATGCCCTGACTTGTTGGATCCCGCATTCTTGCCTCTCCCATTTCTGGAAGGGCCAAATCCTCCTCTCCATGCACAAGGGCGAGAAGACTCCTTCCCCAGTTTGTAGGATCTGGAGTCACGGAAAGTAACATTGCTTTGGCGAGGCCTCCGATCTCTATAGCTCCCCCTGTTCCTTCTATCCTGACGGAGCAATGGACTTCTTTATGTAAGAATCCAGCTCCAAGCCAAATAGCATATCCCCCTGGAATGCTCGGGAACACAGACTATTCTTAGAGGAAGTATTAGCACCCCAAGATCTAACCCACAGAGCTCTATGAGCTACCACAGAGGACACCATACCTCTGGCCAGTGACTGAAGCAGGTCATCCGCTGCCTCTGTTGAAAGGTCCATTGCCAGCTTGATGTCCTGAATCCTATCCAAAAGTCTGTGCCTGCTCACACCTCTTTCTATATCTGCTTCCAACTCCTCAATCCACAGTTTGGATGTACGGGACACCGAGGATAGGGCCACTCCCGTGTGGAGGCCCATGCCCAAAGCAGTGTAGGTTTTCACAAGATTATGCTCCATCTTTCGATCCATGGAATCCCTGAGGGAGCCTGCGTTGTCGACTGGCAAAGCTGTGTGCTTTTCTAACCCGACCACGGCTGCATCCACTTTAGGAGCTGAATCCCAGGTACTGGAATCCGCGCTACTGATAGGATAGAGATGAGAAAATCTCCCCTTGGACCCCATTTATTTCTCGGATTTGTCCCATTCTTCCTTGATGAGCTTTTTAGTGATCTTGCTCACTGGAAAGGATGATCTGCTTCGCCTCAGCCCTGCAAAATGTCTGCTCGAGGGGGAATGTGCCGCCCTAATGGGGCATAGAATGTGTTATTAGCATTGTTAGTAGATACGAATTTATATAGTTTGTTTTCCCTTAATCATTTTCCTATGGACGTTTTTATATTTAGTTCACATGCTGCGGTAATGCACATGTTTTTATGTTCCTTTCTCTAATAACTACAACACATTTCCTGTGTAAACAAACAAAAGATCAGGAGCGCAACTACCAAAATTCCTTGTGTGTGAGTAGGTGAGTATGATCCGGCGAAGGGACCAGTGGACATATAGATGAGGACAGAGTCAGGCACACTAATAGATCTTTAGAGTGTGGGGTTTAGGTGTCTATGGCAATGTCACAGTGGTAGAAAAGGGGACTTACAATTAGGAGCTCCCCTGTTGTCTGTACGATCATCTGCTTGGATCGATCCTGGTGTCTCCGGTGGTGTGGGAGGCTGGTCTGGAATGGATGTGCATCTGTTTGACCGTCCACAAACTCGTTGGGTAAATGACAGGCCAAATTTGTTGTCGTTGCAGTGTGACACGAAGTCAGCTACACTCTCAGGTGGGCCATCCCAGATTATTACAATATCATCGATATATCTGCCATAAAAGATGAGTTTGTTGGCGTGGGGGTTGTTGGCCCAGATATGCAGAGCTTCCCAGTGTCCCATCGTTAGATTGGCGTAGCTTGGGGCATAGTTAGCCCCCATGGCAGTTCCTTGGGTTTGAAGGTAGAATTTGCCCAAAAAGGAGAAATAATTATGCGTTAGTGTAAATTTTGTACAGTCAAGAAGGAATTGGACCTGGTTGAAGTTGATCGATGATTGGCCTAGAAAAAATTGTAGGGCATTGAGGCCCACTTTATGGGGAATGGAGGTGTATAGAGAACTTACATCTAGAGATACCCAGCTATATGTGGGATCCCAGGTGTACGTGGACAGGATGTTGATAAGATGGCTGGAATCTTTGATGTAGGATGGTAATGAGAGGACTATCGGTTGTAAGAAATGGTCAATATATTTGGAGAGGCCACTGGTTAGGCTATTGGTACTTGCGATGATAGGTCGTCCAGGAGGATTATGACTATCTTTATGAATCTTTGGTAAATGATAATAGTAGGGTGTACTGGGATATTTTTGTTGTAAAAAGTTTTTTACAACCCCCCGAGCCCCAGCGAGATATACTGTGCGTATAAACACAGAATAGACCATCTCCAATTAAATGCTAGCCCCTGATAAGACCGAAGGGTTACTAAAGGTTACAGATCTCCATCGGCTAGAGCACTGACAGTTCACAATCAAGACGGACCCAGACTGCTAATCCACTCCCCCCACGCGAGTGGCAGCCTATCACTGGGCTCTATGAAATCACACGCCTCCCCCCTTGTTAAATTGAAAAAGACGACAGATCTCCCGCGGTCTCCAGTATCTTGAGGCTTGATAAAGAGGCAACCCCTCGAAGCGCGTAGCCACTGGAGACACCCGATACTTTTGTACCCCTATGACCACAGCCCGACTGCCAGCACTGACACGCGGCGCACGGGGTCACTCAGCCGCACGTAGCTCCTCCCCCCTTGCTGTCTGCTCCTGACGGACGCGGCTCGGCCCGGCCAGTCGAGTTTGTGGACGGTCAAACAGATGCACA